TATCAGTACTTGTAATTGAAATATATGTATTCTGAGTATTTATTATGTGCTTCTACATACGTTCGCTGTATCTTGCGTTTTGTCGCCACCACAGCAGTCTGCAGTGTGTTTGAAATGTTTGTATTTCCTATTTTGGCTAGTGTTCTGTGCCTTCAGCATAGATTGCGTTTTGTGGCATCTGCCTGATGTGTATATAGGGGAGTGAAAACGTAGCCAAGCTGATGAATTCGCGTATATTTTCCACCCCTCCATCAATTTCGCATTTTGAGAAGTATACTATGTTATTATTATTATTATTATTATTATTATCATTATTATTATTATTATTATTATTATTATTATTATTATTATTCACCCTGTCACAAAATATGATGAAGACCCTCGAATCCCACCGCACTTATCGATAAACACCGAACGTTACTATGGGGACCTTTTATAAGGACCGACTAGCCTTTAAAAGCAATTTTCCTCGCCTCGGTGAACAAGCTGCGCTAAACTGCTTTAGCTGGCTGAATAGTAGAGTAGCTGTGATTGTGCATGGCGCAACGGTCTGTCGCTACTCAGATTTCACTGCGGCCGGCTACTCGGGCCCGGCAACCCTGCGCGATCAAGACAGGTCACGTGTGCTGCCTTTCTCGATCCGCTACCTGACGTCACCCACGCTCTCTGTGCTGGGCATGATCGGCATCCTGGCGGCGGTCATGTCGTCCGTCGACTCGTCCATGCTCAGCGCCTCCGCCATGGTCACCTGGAACGTCTACCACGCGCTCATGCGACCGAAGGTATGTAAAATGGAACACGTGGTGGCCAAGGGCGTAGGGAGAGCTTTATTATTTGGGGGGAGGGGGGGGGGCTTCGTTGATCTGAAGCAAGGGCCGGACAGGCCAATGGTGATTCTACTCTCTATATGCCAGGGTAAAAAAAAACGTGGCTGATCCCCCTGTATAGGAATCGGCATAACACAAGAGTGAAACATGTCTTTATTAGGTAGTTGAGCATGCATTCTTATTGTGCATTCTTTCAGCAGCAGCAACAAATTGCAAAGTCACGTTAAGAATGGCAAGCTATTCGAAACTTCCGGCGCGCACGCACCTCAAGCAGAAACACAGACAGACAAAGAACTTTATTGTCAAGCAGAAAGCACTCACGATATATATATATATATATATATATATATATATATATATATATATATATATATATATTATATATATATATATATATATATATATATATATATATATATATATATATATATATATATATATATATATGAAAACGCAAGAAACAAACATCCCAGCGCAAATGATTGATTGATAAGTGGGGTTTAACGTCCCAAAACCACCATATGATTATGAGAGACGCCGTAGTGGGGGGCTCCGGAAATTTCAATCACCTGGGGTTCCTTAACGTGCACCCAAATCTGAGCACACGGGCCTACAACATTTCCGCCTCCATCGGAAATGCAGTCGCCGCAGCCGGGATTTGAACCCGCGACCTGCGGGTCAGCAGCCGAGTACCTTAGCCACTAGACCACCACGGCGGGGTTGCGCAGCGCAAATGCAGGCGTGAACAATGATGACTGGGGCGAAGTGTCCATCTGTTCGTCCGCGCATGCTTCCGTCCGCCCATCCGTGCGTCCCTCCGGCCCTGCTTCCGTCAGTCCATCCATTCATGCATCCATCTATCTGTTTTCAGGTGGAATGTCACTTGGTGGGAAGCGGTTCCTCAAGTGGCATCCCACCTGAACCACTGAACATTTGCTGGTTTTTGTTTCGTGAGAAAACATCTCCAAGCCACACGAACACACACATAGAGCCAAAAGCAGGCCAGAAGTACGAATATTAGACAAATGTGTGTACTACCAATCATTCCCATGCTCGCTGAAGCGCCGTGCGTTGCAGCTTCCATAGACACTAGCACCAGAGTTCCTTCTAGTGTATATGAGCAAACTCTATGGGACGCCGGACGCGCTGGAACGCACATGCGTCAAAGCAACGCATTTCATGACACGCCTGCGAGTATATGGCTGTACCGACGCCTGGCGTGGCAACGCCGGCGTGACGCGACAAAATGAACGCCGGCGAGCTCGCGCATCGCGTCTAGTCGAAATGTATTGGCGCCTTGACTGTGGCCTGTAGTCATGTTCACACATGACGCGCATCTCATGATCATCATGTTTGCACCAATCACATACCTTCGTCATCCATTGACGCGACGTAATACCAAATTTGGCATATGTGAAACTAGCGAAATGGCCGCGAGAGCACCATGAGTGAGGCATGTAGTCATATTGTTACATGACACGCATGTCGTGATTATCATGTTTGGATGTGTCTTTTACCTATGTCGTCCGTTCGCGTCGCGTAATGCCGAGTTCGGTGCATGTGAAGCTAGCAAGCTAGCAAAACGGTTGCGAGCGCATCATGAGTGTAGCATGCAGTCATTTTGTTACATGACACGCATCTCATGTTCATCATGTTTGCACCAGTCACATACCTTCGTCATCCATTCACGTACTGTAATATCAAATTTGGTATGTGTGACGCTAGTGAAACCGCCGCGAGCGCATCGTGAGTGTGGCATGTAGTCATGTTACATGACATGCATGTCATGATTTTCATATTAGGGTCAGTCGCTTGTGTTCGGCATGCAATCACGTCATGTGAGAACATGACTACATGCCACAGTCAAGGCGCCAATACATTTCGATGTGACGCGGTGCGCGTGCTCGCCGGCGTTCATTTCGTCGCGTCACGCCGGCATTGCCACGCCAGGCGTCGGTACAGCCATATACTAGCAGGCGCACGCCGCGCTGCGTTGCTTTGACGCATGCGCGTTTCAGCACGTCCGGCGTCCCTCCGTCACGAGAAGAGGGAGACGCAGTGCTGTCTGGGTAACGCATCGGCACGAAGTGCTGAAATGCAGCACGTCGCATTTCGCGCCGGTTGCCGTCGGGCCGCGCCGACGGACGCTGGTCGTGCCTTGCGTCAGACTAAAGAATGCTCGCGTTTTGCTAACGTATAGTGTCGCTGTGCTCGGAGTGCGCGCGCGTCATGCTACCTTGGAGTATATTGGGCCCTTCATAATGCGCTCACGGCCATTTTAATAGCTCCACATATACCAAATTTGGTGTTACGTGACCTCAATGGATGACGAAATACATGACTGATGCAAACATGATAATCCTGACAAGCGTGTCATGTAAGAGCATGACAACATACCACGCTCATAGCGTCCTCGCGGCCGTTTCGCTAGCTCCGCATATACTAAATTTGGTATCACGTGACGTGAATAGATGACGAAGGTAAGCGACACATCCAAACATGACAATCATGACACGGAAGTCAAGTACGGCGTCATTTACCTCCACTTCCTAACGTTGTGCTGATTTTAAAGTGACATACCAACATTTCTCATTCGTGCTCGCATATTATCGATTCCCACAGTACGTGGGATCTGCCTTTTTTTTTTTCAACGAAACTTACGTGACGGAAGTACGTCAGCAGATCCGTGGTGGACCCCAGCATAAAACACTGTCGTGTTAAAGAAATTTCGGGGAAAGGGCACGGGCCTGGTTTGCCGCCGTCTGGTTACGCCACTGGTGGTGGCTTTGGAGTTCTATAATAATTGATGGGGCTTTACGTCCCAAAACCACGATATAGTTTTCAGGGACGCCGCAGTGGAAGAAGAACATAAACTTTATTTGTCGAATCCAGACGATTCGAGTCCGGCGTTTTTTAGTGGGCCTGGGCACCCACTGCGGATGCGGTTCCGAGCAACGTTACTAGATTACCTCAGTTTGCAAACTCCGCCGGGATGCGGCGGCGAAACGCGGCCCCCTTCGTTTCCCGCTCTCTAGGTGGCGCTTCCGACGCCATTTGACCGGTCGCCGCATCGTAACGGAGCCTTCGCGCAATGTTAAACGGAACTTACGCGGTTAATTTTGTGTAATGGGAGTTATTTCCCGAGAGGGTGAGCGAAGGTTATTACGAGTGTGCAAGTAAATCACCAGTTGAGCCGCTAAGGCGATGCCACACGGCAGAGACGTGAGCGCGATGCCCGAATCTTGCGGGACTTCTGTTCATACAGCTCTTTTGCGTTCTTGTTCTCTAAAATTCGATTGCCTATGTAAAAAAAAAACATTGACAGTGGGCCACAGCATTAAGTCTAAATGCTACAGGGCTATGCACTTCGATTCAGGTGCACGTTAGAGAAACTCCAGGTGGTTAAAATTTCCAAAGCCATCCTGCTCTTCAGGTTCTCTGGACGTTTCACAAGTGATCTTTAGCAGCTTTTCCTCTATGAATTTTCAGCGGGAGGCTTGAAAAAATGTCTCTTTTCGGCCGCGTATTTCGTCGAATCGTACCCACTTCGGTAACCAGTCACAAAGCAGCGAGGCATGTTTTCTCACATTCAAGAACCGTCACATGACACATGCGAGCTGTGTAGCTCACAGGGAAAGCGATGACTGAGTTGAAGACATTAAAAAACACCCGGCACCATGCAGATCACGCCAACGCTGACAGCGTCGGTGCCACGCCGGGCACCACGTTGATCGCTACCATAGTAAGTTGCAGCCAGAGCACACACTACGCGAGTTACGTCGAAATAAATCTTGCTGGGACTCAGTGACAGCGATGACTACGAAGCACACTTGAAAGCAACAAAGCAGCACCCGGCATAAGAACACAACTGCAGTAACTCCGCCGTTGTCAGACGGCACCGCCGAGAGGGGCGCGCCTGCGGCTTTTTGACCGGTACAGGGAAGGGTGACACTCGCGGCGCCGCAGTTTGCAAACTGAAAAAAAGTATCTAGTAACGTTGGTTCCGAGATCTTGTCTCGAAGCGGCGTCCTCGGCACGCTGGACGGCCCAGAGTTGTGCTGTCAGGTTCGAGCTGAGCAGTGCGGCCTTCCAACGCGAGCGGAGGCTGGCGGTAGAAGAGTGAGATGAATCGGCACTGTTCGAATTGCTTATTAGGCCCTGACACTCCCACAGCATGTCACTAAGGGTGGCAACCTCGCCACATGACGTGCACCTGTTTGTGGTGTATTTGTCTGGATACATGGCGTGCATGAGTCTGGAGTTTCTGTATGAATCTGTTTGTAATTGTCTGAAGTGTACCGCTTGCGTTCTGTTTAGCCTTTCGTGAGGAGATGGGTATATGCGTCTTTGTAACTGGTAATGTGTGGTGATGTCGTGAAACGTGGTCATACGATCCTCCCATGCCCAGATGTCTGCAGTTCCCCGCGGGGGCTCATCGTCCTTCGGCGATGCTCGGTGAGTGAGGCCTCGAGCAACGCGGTGAGCCACTTCGTTGGGGGTGCTCAGTCCGGTATGTGCCGGGATCCATAACAGGTGCCTTCGGCTATCGAAGTCGACCTCTCCTGGATGTATGGGATGTCGTTGGAGTATGTGAAACGCCTCTTGCGAGATGCGTCCGTTGGCAAAATTGCGAATTGCTATTTGCGAATCACTAATCACGTATGTGGCATTGGTCTGTGTGAGGGCCAGTGCTATAGCCGCTTCCTCTGCCGCTTCAGCGTGTGCCGTGTTCACAGTGAGGCTTGTGATGTACTTGCCACAACGGCCAGAAACTACTGCCACGAAACTCTTTTTATTGGTATAACGCGCAGCATCAGTGAAAACCGCTTCAGTGTCGTTGGAGTAGCTTTGAGTAATGCGTTGTGCCCTGGCTTTACGCCGTCCCGTATGGTGTTGGGGGTGCATGTTGCGAGGCAATGTGGGTACGTATGCTTGCTCGCGTACCGATCTTGGAATTTCGACTTTGATGCCGTGCTGCGTATGGTACGTGATGCCAAGTTTTTCGAGTAGGTGTCGGCCTGGGCGGGTCTTGGATAGGCGCTCGAGCTGGGAAACTTGTTGCGCCTCCACGAGTTCCTCGAGGGTGTTATGCAACCCTAGCTCTAGGAGTTTGCTGTTGCTAACTCCGGGTGCCAGTCCCAACGCGAACTTGTACGTTTTGCGTATCAGGGCGTTAAGCTTGTCTTTTTCCGCAACTGTCCATTTGTGAAACGGTGCCGTGTACATTAGTTGTGAAATAACAAAGGCTTGTATGAGTCGTATGACGCTGCCTTCGCGCATGCCCGCATGTTTGTTCGTGATGCGTCGGATGAGTTGCATCGTGCTGGTGGCATTTGCCATTATCTTGCGCAGTACTTCACCATTGCCGCCGTTCTGCTCAATCATCATCCCCAGTACCCGGATCTTCTTTACCATTGGGATTGGTGAGCCGTTTGATGACGTTAGTTTGATTTCTTGATTTTCTGAAGGTACGTAGTTTTTGGGCGGGCGTCCCTTTTTCACCGGTCTATATAGCAGTAATTCGGATTTTTCGGCCGAGCAGGTGAGTCCCGTGCCTACGAGGTAATGTTCCACGCATTCTATGGCCGCCTGTAAGCGATCCTCGATCTCTCCGTCACTGCCAGTTGTCGTCCAGATCGTAATATCATCCGCGTATAGCGTGTGGTGCAGTCCATCAATTTGATGTAATCGCTCGGGTAACCCCAGCAGGACGAGGTTGAAGGGCATCGGCGAGATCACCGAGCCCTGCGGGGTACCCGAGCTTCCAATGTTGATTTGACTTGATTCTAGCTGTCCCACTCGCATGCGTGCGGTTCTTCCCGTGAGGAAGTCTCGGACGTAGTTGTACACTCGCATTCCGAGGTTCAATCTGTCTATTTGTCGCAATATGGCGTCGTGACGAACGTTATTGAAGGCCTTCTTCAGGTCCAGGCCAAGGATGGCTCTCGTTGAGCACCCAGGATTTTCTATGATTTGATGTTTTAGTTGCAGAAGAGCATCCTGTGTGGAGAGATGTCTTCTGAACCCAATCATTGTGTGTGGTAATAGGTTGTTGTCTTCGAGGTAATCTGTTAGTCTATTGAGGAACGCATGTTCCATCAGTTTACCTACACATGATGTTAGGGAGATAGGGCGCAGGTTCTGCAGCTGCACTTTCTTGCCGGGTTTCGGTATAAGTATGATCTGCGCTTCTTTCCATGGCTGGGGTAACTTTCCACGCACCCAACACTCGTTAATATAATCTTTGAGTTTCTCTAGCGATCTGTAATCGAGGTTGCGCAGTGCCCTGTTCGATATTCGATCTAGGCCTGGGGCTGACTTGGTATTGAGTTTGACAAGGGCCGCCTCGATTTCAGAAATTGAGAATTCTGCGTCTAGGATGGCGTTGCCTTCTCCCCTGTAGTCCGGATGTACTTGCGGGGGCGTTTGGGATATGTAATGGAGTTCCACTTCCCGTAGGAAATCTTGCTCCGTTCCCCCGTAAGCGTGTATGATTTTGCATATGCCTTGCCTCTGTGAGGTCTTGGTGTTCGCGGGAACTATGAGGTACCGCAGTATCTGCCATGTGCGACTCGTAGTGAGCTGACCATCCATCTGCGCGCATTTCTCTTCCCATTGCTGTTGTTGCAGGTTAAGTGCGTGCTTTTCTATTTCTTTGTTGAGCTGTGCTATTCGTTTTCGCAGTCTCCTATTATGTCGTTGTCGTTTCCAACGGCGATGCAGTTGGGTCTTGGCTTGCCACATGTGCAGTAACCGGGTGTCTATTCTATCAAGCCCAGCTGTTGACGGCATCATTTGCGTCGCCCTCTCGATGTCACGCCGAAGTTGCTCGGTCCATTTCTCAATGTCTTTGATGTCTTCAATGTGTTGCTTGTCTCGATTTTTTCGTAGTAGTTCCCAATTGGTGATCTTCATTTGGCGACCGGCATTGTGCTCCTGTGGGCCGCCTTCTGCTTCTATAGAGATAATGCAATGGTCACTGCCCAAGTCTTGCATGGTGTTTCTCCAAGTCACCTTTCGTGTATTGCACGTAAAGGTAAAGTCAGGCGTGGTGTCAGTGCTGACGCTGTTGCCCTGCCTAGTTGGTGCCGCTGGGTCAGTGACCAGCTCGAGGCCGGTGAGTTGCGCCGTTTCCCACAGATGCCTGCCTTTCGGCTGATCTTGTTTGTAACCCCCCGCCGTATGCACCACGTTGAAGTCGCCTCCAATGAAGAGTTGTTGCCCCTGGGCGATATCGAGTGCTCGTTTGAAGAGGACGTGAAAGCGGTGTTTGCGGCATCTCGGACTGCTATAGACGTTGAGTACGAAGATGCTGTCGGGCGTCTTACGCGGTGGAATCAGCTCTACGAGGACGTTTTCAATATCCTTGACATGGGTGTCGTGTTCGATGACCGTGAGCTCTCGCTTGACCAGTGTGGTGATGTTTGGATTTTCCTCCTTGTCTGGTATAGACCGGTACCCTGAAAGTTTGGTGGGGCCGTTTGTTTCCTGCAGTATGATGACGTCTGGGCGTTCGGGGATCGTTTTCAGGTATTGTTGTAGGTGCGCTCGTTTGTTTTTGTAACTTCTGCAGTTCCACTGCCATATTGTATGTTTTTGTTTCGAAGGGTGTCTTGCCATGGCTATGTGGTACTACAAGTGTGGCGCCACTTCGCTATGCGACGTCACCAGCGCGCTGTTGGCAGCTTCTAATCTGGACAATCTGAGATAAATGCTCTCCAAGCTCTGTTGAATCGTACGCGTGATCGTCGCGGTGATAGTTTCCTCGAGACTGCTCACGCGAGCCTCGAGTGCCTTCACTCGAGTGTCGCCTGTTGCTGCGCGCGTACGCTTGGAACGTACTGACTTTTTAAGGGAGATAGCCGGCCCGCGTTTAGTATCAGGGCCTTCGACCTCACCGTCCTCTACGAGTTCTTCTTGTGTTTCCTGCATTGCCTGCTGACCAGTCTCGCTGTGAGCGGCAGACTGGAGCTTTTGTATGAGTTCGTCTTTTGCGTGAATCTGTGCCTGCATGCATTCAATTTGTTTTTGCATAGTTTGTATCGTCTGTGTTAACTGAGCTATCTCCGCCTCTATCTTAGTGTGTATTTTGCCGCCAGCCTCCGCGTTTGTTGCTCACCGCATCTGAAAAGCTCACCGAATCAGTTGTCTTCGCGTCCTTCGTTGTGGTCCGTCAAGGTGTTCGGCTGCGAGCTCGGCGTTGCTGCTGCTTTCGGGGTCCCGGTGTGCGGCTACGAGATCGGGAGTGGCTTCGACTGGGTGTCCTGGATCTTGAGCGGGGCTTGCTTGTGGAATAGTTGGTGGCAGTGGCCTCTGCCTCCTCGTTGGCCCTGCGTCGTTCCCACTGTCTCTTCGTCACGATGTAGGGCGTTTTGTACCTTGCACGGCAGTTGCGGTCCGCCGTCATGTGTGCGCCCCCGCACAGCTTGCAATGGGGGGAACACTGGTGGTTGGGGCCTGGGTTAGGGGCGTCACAACCATGACACACTTTGTCCTTGGGCTTTGGGCACACGTCCATGCGATGACCAAGTCTCCCGCAGCAGTGACACATGTCGATTTGCTTGCGATACAAGGTGCAGCGAAGGAGAGCGCCGCCATAATTGACGTAAGTGGGCACTCGCGATCCTTCAAACGCCACTATGACGGTCGTGGTGTTACTGAGCCGTTTGGCTGCCAGGGCGTAAGGGTTACGTGCGTGAACGATGCTGGTATGAATGGACTTGGCGTCTTCTTCCAACGGAATGCCCTTGATTATTCCCTTCACCGTGTTGTCGGGGGCCGTCTCGTACGCACTAACCTCGTGGTGGCGGTCGCCGATGGTGATGGCTTGAAGCTGTCTGTACTTATCGGCGTGAGAGGCATGTGGTGTGCTCACGACAATGATGTTTTGATGGTTGTTGGAACACACCGTGTCCTCCCCTGCTTCATGAGCCGGTACGTTGGCCGCGCGGTAAATCGCCGATGCGAGGCGCACGGTTCTAGTGGTGGCCACGTCGAGGCCTCCTCGTGGTCGTATCACGATCTTGAAATCGTTCCGTGGGAGTAGTGGCATTTTGCTCTTTCTAATGACTTGCTGCTTGATGTTACGCGGTTGTCGACGCGAACGCTGTCGGTTGAAGTCCGCTCCCTCGCCGGTGCAGGAGGGGGCTCCGTTCTTGGTGTTGCTCTGCGCGTTTGCGCGGTTAACTTTGGTCTTAGATCCGATGGTGCACCAATCCGTGCCCTCCGGAAACTCTTCGGGGAAGATATCCTCCCCGTTCACTTGGACTTCCATCGTTGTTGGGCGAAGAAAGCGCCCGCGTCAGAGGAGACGCTCAGCGCGTCTCGTCGGGTGGCCGGCTTTCGTGAGCGTCGGGCCAAAGGGGCGCGGGATGAAAACCTCTCAAATCCGGCAAAAAGTAGTTTCCTACCTTGAATTTCGGTGTCAGTGGAATCCTGGTCACTTTCCGCACGCGTTGTTGTAAAATTCATGGGCTGAATGACTGAAAATCACTGGCAAATAGTTCTTGGAAGACGGAGCCGACGTGATGCGCGTCCGCTCTCTTCGGCGACCAGCGCGCCCTCGCCGCAGTGGAAAGCTCCGAAAATTTCGATAACCTAGGGTTCTCTATAGGGTGCACCTGAATGTAACTACACGGGCCTCTAGCATTTTGCCTCCGTAGGAATCCGGTCGCCGCGGCTGGGAATAAATCCCGTCACCTTCAGGTTAGCAGTTGTGCACTGCTGCATGCTATTGTGTTCTTCCGGAATGCGATTCCATCTTATCTAAACCTTATTTTACATATCGAATTACTAATACCGTATGTTTTGCGTAGAACTCAGACCAATTAACCAGAAAATTCGGAGCTAAAGTATGGATGCAATTATAAGCAAGTTTAGCTAGCAAGATAGCTTCACGGCAGTGCTCTACGGTACAACAAAAAAGACAACTTCACTACAAAAACGCGATTTTTTTTTAATTTGTAGGTAGGGCGAGCACGTTAGTTGGAAGGGCGTGATATAGTAAGCGAGAAAATATTATTGCTATCCTCTCTATATAGCTACGATTTGGCCAGCAAAAGCGCTGTGACGCACAAGGCTGGGTCACAGGAAAGTTAGAGGTAGATCCAGCGACTCATTTTACGGGGGATGGGAGGGGGGGACGGTAGCTACAAGTATTACCGGAGGAGGGGGGTCCTGACTCTTTAGTTTGTAGTGGCACATATACTTTTAATGTGTGTTTACAGTGGTCCAACTCATTTGTTCTAATTGGTGATAGGAGGTGAACGACAAGCACTGAAAAAAGAAAGGGGGTGGGGGGAAGGTCAATTGCCTCTACCCCCCCCCCCCTCTGGATCCGCCATTGAGCAGAGCCGGTGGCCAGTTAGCTGGACCTACAGGGGCGGCGCCAGGATGTTTTTACTGGGGGGGGGGGGGGCAACCACGAAAAGTGAGTTCCTCCGGGGGGGCAAGCTAGCTCTGCTCCTACTAGGTTTTCAATATATGCTTCCGGGCACTTGGGTGGGCATAGGGCGGGCAGGCGAGAATTTTGGGGGGGGGGGCTCCAGCCCACCCTTGCCCCCCCCCTGGCGCCGCCCCTGTGGACCTAGCTGGCTTGGCTCAGCTTTTACCCTCTCAGTTGACTCTTCCCCATCTCTAGCTATACTATAGTGTGCATAGCTATGCTTGCTGTCTTTTTCCGTCCGTCTGTTTCTGTATCCCTTTATCTGTATTTCTTCGCTTTCTCTCTTGTTCTCTCTTCCTCTTTATCTCTTTCTATATTTTCCTATCTACGACACACGCCTCAGCCTCAACACAATAAATGCCCTGCTGTAAAGCTCCTTTAGCGCGTTATGCGCTACATAAATCGGTCAAATCCGGCTGCTCAACACACTGGTCCACTAAAACCTCACAAGGCACCGCACAGGTGACGAACACCGATTGGGGCCGCACATGGCAGTATCTCCTTATAACCACCTTACACTGGGTTCTCGGGCTTTGATTGAGCACGTGTAAGTTAACTATGGTCACAATTTTGTACTTATACGACAGACGGCAAACCTCCATAACAGTAGTCTCGAAAGATGATTGTGCTGCTCGGTGTTCCGCTGGTGTGACAATGTCGAATCCACGTATGCAGGCATCCGAGAAAGAAGTGGCGCTGACGCTGCGCCTGATGGTGTGCGCGATCGGCGCGTCGGCCACCTACCTGGCACTGTCGGTGCAGTCTGTCTTCAACCTGTGGATCCTCTGCTCGGACGTGGTGTACGTGTTGCTCTTTCCGCAGTTGGTGTGCGTCTTCTACATCAAGCACACCAACGCGTACGGCTCCGCCAGCGGTGAGGAAGCAGTGAGGTTTGCCATTATCGCGTCACGGTCGGACGATGTTCTTGAAACGTTTGACTACCAGTGTTATCGCAGTATACCGAACGGGAACTGCTGCGCTTTTTCACTGAGGCACGTTCCAACATCATAGCTCCTTGGAAGCAGTGTGAAAAGCGGTTTCAACGGCTTAGAAAGCTACACGCTTGCGCTATAATTATGACAGAGAAGCTACTTAAGTTGGGTAAATAACAGTGTGCGACCACCGAAAACTCTGCGCTTATGTGCCACAAAAAGGGGGTACGTGTCCAAGCAGACCCTAGCATTGCATAGCCACACAATATAGCCAGGTAGTGGAAAGTCATTAATTATGGCTGTCAGCTGCCCTACTAAAATCTCTGTGGTGGCCACAGCAAGCTGGACAAATTTGTACCTGAAATGTTGGAGGCAGTCTAGCTTCTACACAGTTCTACTTTGGAGAATTCTGACTTCTCTGTGCTCCGAGATATCCCACTGCAACGTTCATTTGAGGTTTGCATAATTACGCATGCAAGGCAATGAGCACTGGCGCAAAGCTTCTCCCCGAAATGCCCCGGCAGGTGCGTGCGGCAGTTTAATCTGACAACGGGTCGTAGGTATAGGCAAAGGTGATAACGGTCACCCTATTACTACCGGCTAGCGATAGCAAGCTATCACTGTTCGTTACATCAGGAAAGAATATTGCGTCGATCTGCACCACCTTGTATGCGTAATCGTACAAACCGACAATTAAACTTTGCAGCGAGATATCTCGTAGCACAGACATGCCAGAAGTTTTAGATGCGAAACAGCTCTTTGACTAGCCTGTGTAACGCTGTCCCTCCGTACATCCGTACGAACGCGCCGCAACGCGCTCCTTTTGCCGCAGGTGTTAGAGCGATGCCAAGTGGGTCACGCCGAAGCTGCGCGTTGACGCCACGCTCCCCTTGCAGTGCGCGCTTGCCGCAGCTACCGCCTCGTCCATTCACCCGCAACACCTGCCGCCGCTACCACCACTCACTCCCCTACCGCTACCGCCACTCGCTACACCACCGACTCGTTGGTTCACGCGCAATAAAACTGACGCGCCCCAAACGTACACGTTTAGACATGCATGTACCTGTCACCTCTCGCTTCACCGTCTCCACCACTCGCAAAGCACGAGCACAGATCGAGTGGTGACCCTCTTTCGGCTCGTTTATGTGCGATGGAGAGGACTGCGCAAGACGACGCTCCTTCACCCGCCGAAGCATCCACCGAAGCGATTAGGCCTAACTAACGCGGCCATCGCTTAAAACGAATCTTCCAGTGCTCATTGCAGCACCCGCGTTAGCGCCACTCGTGCGCAACGCTTCTGCTTCGCATCCAATCAAAGCTTCCTTTAGTGGTGTGAATTCTTTAAGTGGAACTGCGTAGAAACGCAAATGTTTCCAGCTTTTCAATACAAACATTTTCGCTTGCGATAGTCACTAAAAGGTTCATTAATAAATCTTATTTAATTGGGCAGCTGACAGCGATTATTATTGACTCATTTTGTGTCCTACTGAATACACGTTATCTGCAAAGGTTATGCTTGTCCTCCCCATTAAGCCATGAAACCATGAAGCTTAACCTCGAACGCCCGGTATATAGCTAGGAGATCTCTAAGTGGTTATGCAAAGAAAAAGTAAAGTGCTGCCTGTAACTTTACGATG